GCACCTAAGGCAGGTACCCATTTATCTACTTGCTAGGCTTTCGAACCACTGGGTAGGCGGGAGCCAGGACAGGGGCCGGGAGCTCACCCCGGCCGCGGTGGGACTCGATGAACATAGGTGGGGCTGAGAGAGCTCTTTTGAAAACTGCTCGTGAGAGAACAGCTCTGAAAGTACATGTAACTAACCCAAGGTCACATCAGCACGCAGCTCCACGTGAAGGAGAGGGGAATCAAACCCGGTTCTCCCAGATAAGAGTCTGCGCTCTTAACCACTACACCAAACTGGCTCTCGTCAGGAGAAAACATGCAAATTTGCTTTTTATTAACATTAGACTGCCAAAAATAAAAACAAAAGGGGTAAAAATAGATATTGATCATGATATTTATTTGTCCAATGATATTTATTTGTTTGCTAATGATATTTATTTGTCTGGGGGGGGTTGGAAAGAAAGAATGAAAGAGGTAGAAAGACAGAGAAGGAAAGGGAGAGACACAAAGAAAGCAAATAGATGGCGGAAGGAGGGAGGAGGAAGGAAGAGAGAGAGAGAAAGGAAGAAAGGGAGAAAGAGAGAAAAAGAGAAAGAAATGTGAAAAGAAACCAAATAGATGGGGAAGGAGGAAGGAAGGGGGGAAAAGAGAGAGAGAGAGAAACAAAGACTGCAAATAGGAGAGGGAGGAGGGGGAGGAAGGAAGAGAGGAAGAAAGAAAGCAAATAGATGGGGGGGAGGAAGGATGGACAGAAGGAAGAGAGAAAGAGAAAAGTGGAAAGAATGAAAGAGGTGGGAAAAAAGGAGAAAGAGAGAAAGAGCGAGGAACAGACACAAAGGAAGCAAATAGGGAAAGGGAGGGGGAGGAAGGAAGGAAGAGAGAGAGAAACAGAGAAAGCAAATAGATGAGGGAGGGGGAGGACGAGAGAAAGGAAGGAAGAGAGAAAGAGAGAGAGAGAAAGAGGGGGCAGAAAGAAAGCAAATAAATGGGAAGGGAGAGAGGGAGGGAGGGAGGAAGAGAGAGGTGGAAAGAAAGCAACTTTAATTTTAAATGTGTTCTCCAACACACATACACACGCCAGCTGACTTGGCTAGGAGATGGGATTTAAAGAGACATGGAAATGTGAAGGTAGGCCTCTGTGAGGTCTATTGAGGTTAGAAATTCCCCAGTTGCAGGGCTTCCATCCAGAAGTGTCTTAGTCTGATGAATTTATTCAGGCACTTGAGGTTTAGTATCACCCCCCAGTCCCGGTTTTTCTTGGGCACTGTGAAAAAGATGGAATATACTCCCCATCCCTTCTCTGTCTTGGGAACTAATTCCACTGCCTGGATTCCCAGGAGGTGTTGGATGGGGCCTTGTGAGTTATGTGGCGTTTGAGTTGGTTTTGCCATAGAGGAGATGCAATAAATCGTTCTGATGGGGCTCTGGTAAACTCTGTGGAACAGCCTTGTGAAGCTACTTCCATTGCCCAGGAGTCTGCTTGTGATTTCATCTGGTTGTCTCAAAAATGAAGTAATCTTCCCCCTACCGGAATGATGTGCGAGTCATGCCTTTGGAGACCTTTTGTCTCAATCTGGTTTGTACTGTCCATTTGCTGTCTGTTTGGCTTGAAGTTAGAGGATCCCCTCCTGAATGATTGCCTGGAGGATCCCCATGATCATCTCTTGTATTCCTGCTTGAACTTCAGTACTGTATGTTGGGCATGAAAGGAATGTGCAGTGTAAGGTCTCCTGTCAAAGTGCTGGAGGGTTTGGGCACAGCTTTCTACTTGTCTTGAGTTTCAACCAAAATTTTATCCAGTACGTCACCGAAAGGTTTATCCCCCTGGAAGGCTGAGACAATATTATTTGAATGAATATCTGCTAGCCATACTCGAAGCCAGAGCACTCTTCTGGCAGCTGCTGCAAAAGCCACGGTGCTGGAAGAAAAGCTCAACGTGTACAAGGTGACACCTGCTGTAAATGCACTGGTATTCAGAACTCTATTGGTTCCTTCTAAAAGTCTACTACTGTCCCCGGTAATTTGTTAAATTATTTTTCGCATCCAGACTATAGCTGCTCTGGAGGGAATGGATGCCGTGCTTGACTTTTATTGCCATGGCTGTGGCTTCATGTGCCTTCTTGAGGGCCATTTCTGCTCTCTTGTCAAGGGCCTCTCTGACCGAACTCTGTCTGTCTTTGGAAAGGAAGCCATAGGAGTGTAAGGTGGCCCCCAGGACATCCACAGGAGGTACCTGTAAAATATCATTAGCATGAAAAGGAAGTGCATATAACTTTTAACAAAATTTGGGAATTCTTGATTTGCCATAGGCTTTGCCCATTCAGCCCTGGGCTGTCTCTCAAAGAACTCCAGAAACAAAAACACTTCTTCAGGCGTGTCATGTCTAGGAAAAATTCTTGAGTTCCTCTGGGTCTGACTTTGGTTCTGACGGCACAGGAGGAGTCCTCTCCAGCAGGTGGCTCTTAGAGTTCTAGAGTAAGTATTGATAATCCTCAGCCTTAAACAGGCAGTCAGACTGCTCTGGTACCTTAATCTCCTCTACTTCTTTCTCTGATAGAACTTCCTCCTTCTCCTTGTCCTCCCTTTTTCTGCCAGAGGACTGCTCACCCTCCCAAGGGGTTTCTTTGCCTCATTTTCTGCTTTGGGGCTGCTTTCGTGGGCCAATGTCTGGGGGGGAGGGATTCTGAGGTTGCTCTAACCTTAAGTGGCAGATACTAATTATATCCTCCCTCAGTGCTTGTCATAATACATTTAACCATTCAGTAGAAATGGCCATAGGGCCAGGTTTGCCTAGGTTACCACTCTGATGAGGGACGTTTGGTTGAGCTGGGAGGGTCTGTTCTAATAAAGGAACATCCTCATCTGAATCCCCCCGCTGGGGGTTGGCATCAATGGACTCATTAATGCACTGGACAGTCGGGAGCCTTGGTTTTTCACTGCCATTGGTGAGTCAAAATGGCTGCTACTTGAAGTCGCAGGACAGGAGCAGGTCACTGGATGTAGTGCACAGTCTTATCAAGGCAGGGCTTTTTCACACGCTTTCCCTGGAGAGTCAAGGCGGCTGTGGAGTCATGGGCAAGCTGAAAAGGCATTCCGGCTCCAACTTGGTTGAGCTCAGCAGTGACCACAGCAAGTGAAGTGTCCATCTCTGCCTTGGACAAAAAGCTGTCTGCAGAGCCCTCCACCAACTCAAAGGAATGGTTCCCAGAATGGGCTGAATGGCAGTCCTGGTAACTAGCATTCTTGGGGGGGGGGATCACTATGAGAAAAGGAAAATGGATAGAGACAGATACAGGATTAAGAGAGGTTTAAAAAGAGACTTGAAGATTCAGAAGTAACAAGAGGGGGAGAGAAGAGCCCCGTCTCCTCCATCCCCCCCATCTCCCCGAGGCGGCGGGGGCGGCAAGGCCGGTGTTCGCCCCCCTGAGGCCGGTCTTCCCCCCCGCCCGCCCCCCCGCCCTGCTTACCGGCTCCGGGGAGGGGGAGGAG